TGGCTTCTCTCCCAAGGGATGACCCCAAGCGAAAATCAACGCACGTAACAAATATCATTTACAAAAATCATCACAATACTCACATTAGAACAAAACGTGTTATATCAGAGACGTATGCAATTGTTCCCAAGGGATGACCCCAAGTGGAAATCAACGTACGTAACAAATATCATTTACAAAATCATCATACATATCCCATAAAACATGTCATATAATCAAATATCATAACTAAACAAAACATATACACATATCTTATCAGAAACGTACGCAGTTATTCCCAAAGGATGACCCCAAGCGGAAATCAACGTACGTGTTCCCAAGGGAGTACCCCAAGCGGAAACAAAAACATATCAGATATATACACAGTCAATCTCTAGGGATGACCCCAACCAAACATATCTTCACTGAGTAAAACATATATACAGATCTTATCAGATGCGTACACAGTTATTCCCAAGGGAGGACCCCAAGCGGAAATCAACACACGTGTTCCCAAGGGAGGACCCCAAGCGAAACCAGAACATATCAGAGGCGTACGCAGTCATTCCCAAGGGAGGACCCCAAGCGAAAATCAACGCACGGGTTCCCAAGGGAGGACCCCAAGCGGAACCAGAACATATCAGAGACGTACACCGTCAATCTTAGGGGAACCCAAGAAGACATCAGTGTACCATAAAATCCAAGGCCAAAGATCAATACATAAATCATATCAAAACAAGTTATATAACAGATGTGTTCACAGTTACTCCTAGGGGAGGACCCCAAGTGGGAATCAGTGTACGTGTTCCCAAGGGTGGACCCCAAGCGGAACTCAACAAAACATATCATATTAACACATATCAAAGTAAACACATCAGAACAAAACATATCATATTATCATATAGCTCTATATGAATGCATCTATATCATATATCTGATACATATCATACAACCTGACCACAGTCCGTACACTATGGCGGAACACAAAGTAGGAGCGAACCCCATAAACATAGAGCTTACCTCTTGGAGCTTTAACAATAGTCTTACTTGTCACACAAGTCACTAATCTTCCTCCAAAAGAATCCAAATGTTCGAAATCCCTAGGCACACCTAGAGAAAATTTCAAAACAAAACTCAATAAAATTATACAATGCCATGTAATTATACAAGACACACACTTTATTGCTTTCACCTTTTCTCACAAAGCTTATGCCAATTATATGCCAACCCACAAGTCAAGACCATAATTCTTAAACTCACATATTAGACCATTTTAGGGTGATTACTAATTCAACAAGCAATCACATGGTTTCATGCTTACATAGGGTCTTAGAATGACATAACCATGCCTCTAAAATACTCATTACAATTTTTTTAGAACAACCTAATCTACCTAGAGCCCATATAGCCAAAGCCACATATAAGGAAGGCAAGACGTTCTTCTCTTTGTTTCACATAATTCGTAACTTAACATACTCTTGACTTGTCTCTTGAGTCATTCAAACACTCACTTTATCAAACATACACTTCCAATATTTTTCTTTAGCCCAAATTAGTACAATCACCACTTTCACACAAGAGCAACCTATAACAAATGTTTAAAGGTGATCAACAATTCATACAACACATGGAACGTTAAGCTATTGGCTAAAATTTCTCATATTCTTATAAAACAAAACTTACATCTCTTTGGTAAAATTTCAAGAATCTTTATCTTATTAAATGACTATTTACCCATTTCACCAAAAAGTAACTTTGTGGTGTTCCCAACCAAGGAATAACGTTCCCACCATGGGAACGTCGTTCCTGCTTTGGGAACAACTTACTGAACATCGTTCCCACCATGGGAACAGTTTACCGAAAGTCGTTCTCGCTCCGGGAACGACCAAAATTCATCAAATCAAGATCTAATTCTCTTTTTCTGAGCTCATTTACATTCACTTTTATTCCCTAAGGAACAATATTAGCAATTCATAATTGGGCCTTTGCACCGTTTTTAACGAATTAACTGTGAATCACTATTGTGCACTGTTTGCACGCAAAACTGCAAAACTTCTAAATTTATCATTTTTGGTCTAAACATGACTTGTTTGGCATATATTGGACTTCCATATACTTATCACATCATTTGTTCATTTATGGACTCTACCGGTTGCTTAAACAACGGTACCAAATACCCGACAAAATCACTATTCACGAAATTTTCGCAAAAAGGGTTAGATTATACCAATTCACATTCTAAACACATATTTGGCATCCAAATCATCAAACTAAATCTCTATAATAAAGATTTACCGGCGAGGGTCATTATATTAACCGGGCAAAAACTTATTTATCTATTCACCTCCACTCATCACCAAACTTACCCAAATGATCTAGAATATTTTTCTAGTAATATTTTTAATTTTACTTTTATAATCTGGGTACTTTTATCTACCCATATTTTTACCCTTTAATTCTCACTGACTGCACTTTTTACCTCAAAAGTGCCCTTAATTCATTCATTTTTAGCCTCTTACTAAATTCAACCCACTTATACTTGCTCAATTGCTTAATTAAAGGTAATTAATTAAATTTTTAAGTTAGGGGTATTATAGATGTCAAAGTGAAGTTGTCTTGTCCTATCCACTGGGAGTAAGATGAAAATAGGGTGGGAACTGGTTGATTAATTTTTATTCATGAATTAAAAATATCAATTTATTTTATTTTATAACATGTTGGTAGATAACTCGCCTCATTTTTAAAAAAAAATTAAAATATAGATTCAGATACCAGTGGTTCAACTTCCCTAAAACGTTTAAATAAACATAATCCATCACTCAACAAATAAAAAAAGAAGAAGATGTAATTTGTTCATCTTCCGACGCATTAAACTACTTCTTTTGATTGTTTATTGGTAAGAGAGGCGACAAGTTCTTGCATAGTTTATTTATAGTCAATAAAATAATTGTTTGGCACGGATATATTGCTGAAGTTGTTTAATATAAGATAATGATATTACCACTGTGTATATAACTTATACTTTGTACTAAACCCGCTTAAATTTTTTTTCGCAAAGAGCATCTGATGTTGTCGGAAATCGCAGTCGTTTAATCAATCTGACAAACATGACCAACAACTTTGAGGCATGCACTCCGGTAATTGATGCATTGTATTTTCTGTACATAACTTATACTTAGTACTAAACCCATGTATTGATTGGTTGAAAATGGAAACAATATCAATGAAGGTCTTGTGGGGTACCCTCTAATTCAAGTGGATTTATGTGCTGAATTATTTGGATAGCCAGTCCAAAGAAAAGGTCCATAGACAAATTATATGGTACTGATATGGACTTACATGAATGATCTTTATGTCTGATGGTTGATCTGTATTGTAAAGGTTACCGTTATTGACTTATTATACATATTAAGGGAGTAAGATCATAGAAAATGACTTTGATGGGTACCAGAGCAAGTCATGGATATTGAGAGTACCAATTATTGCCACGATATCCTACCACAGGCGCCAGGGATGTTTCTTATGGAAAGAAGGTTATAGCGTAAATTCAATCAAAGTATGAACGTACAGACATTTTTCCCCAAAAACTGAAGTATGTTAATTTGACTAAAACAAAAGAGGTAGTGATGTAGATTAAAGTTTTATGTAGGTGATGGATAGCAATGTAAGTAATAATAACGGAGAGTGAATAGAGAAAATGAATAATGAGAGAGGTTATGTCCTTTTATATAGGAGGTTGGAGATTCCTTCCAAGTGAGCAAAGTGTGATGTCATAATCATTTTCAGCCTCTGGGTCTCATTAAGTGTGAGGTTACGTGACCATAACGTGTAAAGAGTCATGCGTGCGTGAAAAATATGAAGGAACATGTGTACAAGAAAGTAATATATGATTATAAATTTTAGTTAAGCAGTATCTATTATAAATATTTAAATTAATTGTTAATATGATTAGATTATATGAGTTCTATTAAAAAAGTACCGCACATTTAGTAATACTAATTATCTTACAATTCAAATTCAAATGATGAATTTCAATAACATATATATTTCCTTGACCACTATGCTAATCCATTAAATTCGTAAGAAATGTTTTGGATGATATTACTTGCACAACTTTTTCCATTGTGGACAAAAAGAAGAACCCTTGTATTTATTATTGCATGCATATAACTTATAACACAATCACTTTAATTTCATTAAAAAAAATCCAAGTGAGTTCACACAGGTGTATTCTCCAATTCTACAATTTTTTTTTTTTTTTGAGTCCTTCCAATTTTTTATAATTCCTTACTTAATCAATTTTTAACCAACGTAAGACTAGTCATATTTGAATTCGCAACAAGTTTGAACACTTTTTACAATCCATCGTGGTCCGTGAACCATTTTCTCCGTTGGCTGTTTTGACAATATTTGGATCAGCATGCATGTTTATTTCTGCAATTCATTTGTTTTTTTTTCTTTCCAGTTTAGCATAATTGGATTGCAATAATAGGCAAAGCTTCATGAAAAGGACAATAGGCAAGACAACTTAGCGGTAGTGGATGGTAGTAACTTAAAACTTCCCTAGTGGAAAAAGAAGTACAGACCCCATTAGACACCAATCAACAAGCAACTATCTGATCTCATCCTTTGCAATCAAACTCCCTTAAAGCACAAACCACATGCCACAAACTTGTATTTTGCCCCTCCACTTATTCATAACGTCCAAAGTACCACTCATATTCCTTACCCTACCCTCAATAGGGTTGCTTTTCTTGCATGCAAGAAGACCCTACTTTATGAATTCACAAAGGTTGATGATTCGTTTGATAAGCTTCAGGTTGTAAGTTCTAACTCTATCCTTGTTATTCCCGAATACTACTTGTTCAGTTCAGCTTTGAGCTAAAAAGTTTCAAACGGATATAAAGGAAGCACTCTGCTTCCTTTACCCTTTTGCCAATATAATTTATTAGTATAAAAGATGATCTCGAGTGAGCTTATAACTGTCTCAAAGGCTTACCCTTTTACCCTTTTGCATTGACATGGTGGATGGTGATGAAGAGAAATCTACACCAGCTCTTGGTGACTTGTCTCTAAAGAAGAAGCAGCTTATTTCTAGTGCCATGAAGAGAACAAGTGATTGGTATGCTTCTGATATTTTGAAACTCATTCTTTGGTTTCTCTTATGCCAAACGCTCCCAACTTTCTTTTGGAACGTACATTTGCTACTGCTAAGTGCTAACCTTTACTTGGATATGAAGAAAGTTACTAAATGAAAACACGTGACTTCAACTACTTAATTACAGGATTTTTTCCCATGAGATTCCAAGTGATGTCACTATACAAGTTGGAGAAGCTTCCTTCTCGTTACATAAGGTACCAAACCAAATCAAACACGGACTATTTGATGCATAGATCAAATTTATTAATCTGAAATGAAGAGTAACTATATCTAGTTCTTGAATATTGTCAGTCAATTGTTGATATGCATATCATACATGCCAAAAGTTTTTTCACCCATTTCTTTGCTTTTCATCTACATAAGGAACATAGATTGAGAAGCAAGACATATAGGTGTGGAATATTAATAGTATAGAAATGTTTATTTTGGCGTCAATAATTGTTGAATTTTTGTAAACATCTTCTAATGTAATTTGCAGTTTCCATTAGTTTCCAAGTGTGGATACATAAGGAAACTCGTCTCAGAATCTAGTGATGCTGATGCTTCACTCATTGAACTCTCTGATGTTCCTGGTGGAGCAGAAGGATTTGAACTGGCAGCAAAATTCTGCTATGGGATAAATTTCGAAATAAGTGTTGAAAATATTACTATGCTTCGCTGTGTGGCAGAGTATCTTGAGATGACAGATGATTATGCAGTTGGAAATTTGGTGGGAAGGACTGATTCTTACTTGAATGAAGTGGCACTTAAGACCATTGCAGGGGCTGTATCTATCTTACATATGTCAGAAAACCTTCTTCAGATTGCAGAGAAAGCAAAATTGGTGAACCGATGCATAGATGCAATTTCATACATAGCCTCCAAGGAAAGCCAGTTTTGTTCATCTGGGAGAATTAACAGTAGCAATGATGAAATGGTGTCTTCCATGGCATCACACCAGAGGCCAGTAGTTGAATGGTGGGCTGAAGATCTAACAGTTCTCAGAATTGACATTTTCCAAAGAGTTCTAATTGCAATGACAGCAAGAGGGTTTAAACAGTATGCTATTGGACCTATTATAATGCTCTATGCACAGAAATCTCTAAGAGGTTTGGTAAGACCCCTTACTAAAAAATGGAAAACTTACACATAAATATGGTTTTATGTATTGAATCTTGAACCTTTTTATTTTGTGTGGAGCAGGAGATATTTGGAAAGGGAAGGAAGAAGCTTGAACCTCAACAAGAGCAGGAGAAGAGGGTTGTTTTAGAGACACTAGTGAGCCTTCTGCCAAGAGATAAGAATGCAATGTCAGTTAGCTTTCTTTCTATGCTGTTACGTGCAGCAATATATCTCGAGACAACTGTTGCTTGCAGGCTTGATTTGGAGAAGAAGATGGCTATGCAGTTAGGACAAGCTGTTTTAGATGATCTTCTTATTCCTTCTTATTCATGTACCGGGGACACATTGTTTGATGTAGATACAGTGCAGCGGATAATGATAAATTACCTAGAATCTGAAATGGGAAATGATTCTTACAATACAGATGATGAATATTTTTCTCCTCCACAAAGAGATATTTGTCGGGTTGGAAAGCTAATGGAGAACTACCTTGCTGAAATAGCCACTGATAGAAATTTACCAGTTCCAAAATTCATGAGTCTTGCTGAACTAATTCCTGAACAATCAAGACCAACAGAAGATGGGATGTATAGGGCCATAGATATCTATCTTAAGGTGCGTTTCTATACTTATATGGTCGTACTATATTGATGTAACTTTGTTTAAACAAGCACTCACATTATAGTATTTGACTAGTTTGATGTTATCATAGTTTAATTGCTACATAACAAAATTGAACTTAACAATTCTCAGGCTCATCCTATTCTAAGTGACATGGAGAGAAAGAAAGTTTGCAGCGTGATGGACTGTCAGAAGTTATCAAGAGAGGCTTGTGCACATGCTGCTCAAAATGACAGGCTTCCTGTCCAAACTGTGGTTCAAGTTCTCTATTATGAACAGCAACGGCTTCGCGATACCATGGCTGGCAATGTAGGTTGGAAATCTCCTTCAATTCATGAAAAGCTGAATGTATACTCCACTGAGCTTAATCCAGTTTCTAATGAGCTCACAAGCTTACGAAGAGAAAATGAAGAACTAAAATTAGAATTAGTGCAACTGAAAATGAAACTAAAAGAGATGGAGAAATCTACGCTTAAATCAGCATCTAGCAGTCCCACAGTAAATGCCTCACCTTGTGCTGATAAGCCTCCTCTGCCACGAAAATCATTCTTAAACTCAGTGTCCAAAAAACTTGGCCGTCTTTCTCCTTTTCAACGCGCCAATGCTGTCACAAACTCTGCTAAAAGTCGCATAAAACTAGATAAGCATCGACGCCACTCCATATCTTGAGACCATTGGTAGTTCCTAGTCTCCACATGACATTGTGCTGAGTAAAAGTTAGTTTTCAAAGGCTTGAAAACAGGACTAGTCTTTCCTAGTTTTACTTCTTCTGTGTTGTACTCGTGTAGATTATATTATCATGATCCTTACGTCAAGAACTTTGTTGTAATTTCTAAAGGGTGGTGAAAAATTGCTTGCATTACAGTCTAGCCGGAGAGAGGAAGCATTAATGCTCTATTACAAGAATGATAAAATCACTCTAACATAGGTTATCGTTAGAAAAAAAACATTGTTCCTCCTATCAACCATGTGCATAAATCAATATAAAATTTCACATGCCAGAATTTTCGTTCTTTGCAAGCAACAAATGAAAGCATAAATTGGACTAGGCAGGGAATATTCATTTTATTCTAAACAAAACTAAGGCACAATTGAAATTACTAATGAGTTCATAAATATTGGGCAGGTCAACTTGTAACGGTACAACAACAGTATATATTCCTAGCAACCATAAGATAAATACAATATCTGATAACAGCAGTTAGTGGGGTCTGTCTTTAAATTATTTAGTCCTTTGCGATAAAAGAGCCTTTAAAAAGGTAATAATTCAAGTGACAGCCTAGCAGTGTCCGTGTTGTCTGAGCCTATAATAATCAAACAAGGAAAGAGATCATGGTTTGGTTTCGATTCATGCATATTCTAAAGTCATTAAACGTAGTAAGTTTTATATATATTTGGGACAGACCTAACCTAAACATGTTAAAAGATGTTTTAAGTATTTGCAAGAGAATCTGCTGTCTATCTGATGGCAGACAGGCACTCCTTGATCTCCAACTTCTTGTTGGCTAGTAAGTATGTGATTTGTGAATGGGGGAAGAAAAGAAATCACTTACCCACTTAATGTGTTAAGGAAAGTAAACAATATTATCAGATGAATCCTATTTGCATTAATATATCACCCAAAATTTTAATCATTTTTATGCCATTGCATAAAACCATCCACACTCACTCCTGCAAAACCACAATTTATTATTATTATTATTATTATTATTGGGAATGAACTAAAAACTAAAAACTAACTATATCAGCTTGGACTCAGTTGCTTTAGAGAGATATCTTGGGAGAAAGGACTCACTGTCTGTTAGGAATAATGATAGACAATTTTTTGTCATATTATGGAAAACTAGATATCTAAAATTGCTTTATTGAAAGGTCGAATTTGAAGGTGGGAACTTAATCAAATGACTTGAAAAGCAAAATGGAATATATCATTGCCTTTCAGACAAAGTGCTAAACTGTTGGAATTTAATAAACTCAACATATGGCCGTCCACCATAATTCATGAAAGGATGATTGTAATGTGAGTGGCTGTTGGACCAAATAAATATCAGTGTGATTTGTGAACAGTATTGGGTCTGGACACAGAAAAAAGTGATAATTTATGCGAGATATCATCTATCAAACCCCACCACACTTGATAACTTGGCAGAACATTCCACACAAACATCATTCACAAAGTTAGTCTTAACTCATAAACAGAAACTTAAATATATCACATTGACCTTAGATTTTTTTTTAAGTCATATTCAGATTCAATACTTGAAAAAGCCAAGGTGACTGTTTTAATCTCTCTTGTCTTAATTGTTCTTCAAAACTGTTTCTAATTCCACTTTGGAACCCTGAGGTTGAATCCGGCACCTGGACAAGGCGTATTATGCTTCCACTTGATTCTTCTCTTGTTGTAAGATTGCTATGATGGGTCTTGCATCTTGTCTTGTTTATATGGCTGGATCCAGTAGAAGAAGAAGACAAGCTATGTCCTGAATCTGAAGTTAGTGCTGTCTCAGCTTTCTTCCTACGGTTGTAACTTGAGGGGCCTAATGTTAACTCAATCTCAGTCTCATCTATGATCTCTAGCACTCCATCATCTGATTCTGCAATGTGCTCCTCTGCAGGCCGTTCAAGATCAAATTTCATTTGAAGCTTTTCTTGTGCACCTATATGATTAGCATTTTGAGTCAAACTTACGGCATTCTTGAAATACCATGCTCTTTCGCTTACATCAACACCTCCTCTTGCTTCCATATTTTGCATCAGTATCTTTTGGATCCGATACAAACGATGAAGTTCATATACCTGTAAAAGATTTCTTATCTATTTATCCTGATTGTGTTAAAATATAATATAGAACTATTAACGTGACATTCATCTATCAACTTAAACTTTTGGATTAAATTGGTTCTTTATATAATAGAAGAGAGAAGTACCTGTTCTTTGAAAGTTTCTTCATGTTTTAACATAGCCATCCTCATGTATTCTTTGTCACAGGACCTAACAAACTTCTCCATCGGTGATCTATTTAGCTTCAGCAAAGTTGAAATAATTTTGAACCAATGATACAAAGTTAACTCTTCAGATGTGCATCTTTATGATATCACTCCACCTTCATATAAGTTATATCACACAGTTAAGCTTAAATGAGGAAATTTCTAACAGAATGTAGTTGATCAATGAAAAGTTGTTTATGTAGAAAATAGGATGGTTCGATGAAAAGCATGGCTATAATGGCCTTGAAACACTAGTACAAAATGATGACATCAACTTCCTTTTGGTATAATTTGTCTGTACCCTTGCTAGCTCTCCTTCCAAAACTTTCGACCACAAATGAATGAACTCCAGCAAAAAAATATCTTCCGACACCTTTATCTGTTGAATTTTCCTACCATAATAATTACTTCTCGTATATGTACACACATGATGTCATTATTCAAGTTATCCTTTCAATTATTGCAATATTTAAATACATTATCAAGGTGGTAATATTTTTCTCTTCTTTTCATATACCCATTTTACAAAAGATGTTTGAAGAAGCAATATCATTACAGTTAGGGCCATAAGGATACTCATTAACTTGATTTTTTTTAACCCTTGCATTTTCCTTTCTCTCTCATTCATGATATCAACTACCAAAATTAATTTTTATATCTTTTCATAATGAATTTTACCTTTGTTAAACTATCTGCAGACAACCATCTATATATATAACTCCAGAGATTTAAAGGAATGAATGATTTAGGTGTAATTTTCCATGTTCTTCATACATGACTTTAACCATTCAAAAAAATTTCTTCAGGCTTCCATATTTGCCTTATACCCATTCTACAGTCTAATATTGCAAACTGACATTAAATTATCACACCAATGGCATGATAAAATTCCAAACATATATCAACATATCATCTTCAACGCTCAATAGAGTTGCACACTCATAAAAGTTATGCAAATAAAAAACGATGACATATAGAATATGAAACAAAATTTTGCAGGCCAAAAGGGAAGAAAGGGGTCATCTATCAGTTTCAAAAATCAGGTGGTAAATTTAAAGAAGAATATGAAAAAAGAAAAAGAAAAAAAATCGTATCACAAACATCAATATGAACCAAAAGGCAAGTTAGCAGTTGAATTCCAACGCAAAAAGGTTGTAAGAAATAGAATCTAGCTTCTAACCTGCCAGAATTCAAATAGCCAAGGGATAGCACAATTTTGTGCTGAACAAGAAGACAACAGAATAAAAAGAGATCTTATGTAGGAAAGGCAAGAAACTCCTCCTTTCAACACAACGTCAGCGACAACCTTGTTTAATTTGATGAAGACTATGCTAATATGCTCTCACATTCCCCATCAGGCTCGTCAGTGTATCCTGTTGGAGATTAAATAGAATACAACAACACTGTTGTGGAATTTAAGATTCTCTGTTAAAAAAAGACACAGAAACCAATGTGCTATTGCATGAGGGTTAGAGGCATGCCAAACAAATCTCAGTGCCTTGACCAATGTGATTCAAGTTTTGTGGAAGTGATGCCTGAGACAGGTCCAGCAATGCAGATATATTAAATTAATAAAATAAATAAATATATGCATTATTAGCACTATTACAATTTATATAATTGTTGAGGATCACAAGGCCTTGGTTTTCTCAAGACAAATCATGCATACCCCTGCTGAGGTGAATCACATGCACCTAAAATTTCTATACCATAAAATAGTTGTCTCAGTTGTTGTACTATAATAAACAACAAATTGCACATTATAAAATGTTGTTGTATAATTGAAGCGTGCCTATATGAAGGAGCTTAAGGTGGCATCTTCTTTGCCGCCGACAGATTGATCCTGACCGTACGATAAGTGGGGTATCTCTCATCAGGATCTCAAATCCAACCTTTGGTTTGACACACACACAAAAAAATAAAAAAAATCATGGGTTTATCTCATCCTTAATTCTTTTGTTCGATTCTATAACATTGATAGAGAGCAAAGAGTGAATAGTCTATTATGGATTTTCGTACCTGTACTGTGCAAAAATAGGTGCAATATGCTATGTGATGGGGTTTTCAGCATCACTCGGAAGACCAAGCGCAATGATTATAGATGTTATCTGGCCATGTGGGTGCTATGTTAATAATGTAATGCGTTATGTGCTCGCTTTAGATATTAATTTACAAACAGATGTGCATACTATGCGAGTATATGTGTATATAAATCAATATAATATATAATAAATTAGATTCATGTATGCTCTTGCCTTTATCAAGATGACAACATGCTTATGAGGCTACGGTTCTCTCTCTGTCTAGAATTCACAATATTATACAATACACAATAAAATTAAACCAAAAAAAAAAAAAAAAGGTGATGGAGAGAGATAGAGAAATGGACGTGGAGTGGAAGCACGCGTTGCCGGGGCAGGAAGGTGCATTCTTATGGGGCGGTGGGTCCATTGGGTTTGCTGAAAAGTCTGACCTATATACGGGCTTGTGTTTTTTGTTGGGTCCCATTTGAAGTGGATATTAAACGACAACAACGAATCCAAGCATAAAATATTATATATATATATATATATATATATATATATATATATATATATATATATATATATATATATAGAGAGAGAGAGAGAGAGAGATAGGACACCGATGTCAAATTTGAAATTTAACACCTCGTCTGAGAGCTGTTAGATCAAAAAAGATCAACGGTGTCACATGCTTACAAATCAAAGTCGTTAATCTTTTTTGATCTAACGGCTCTTAGATGAGGTGTCAAACTTCAAATTTGACACCGGTATCAAAGGATCCTACCTGTATACATGTGTGTGTGTGTCTGAAAATAAATATAAAATTTTAAATTTGACGAATCATAACCATATAAAGATGAAAATAAATATAACTGTTGGATCCACATAATCGATCTAACAGTGAAATTGATTGGTAATAACATTGGTAGTAATCCTAATTGGTTGTTACAAAAATTTTTCCCATATATATATGAGGTAGGATCCTTTGACACCAGTGTCAATTTTGAAGTTTGACACCTTATATGATAGTAGTTAGATAAAAAAAAATCAATGATGTCACATGCTTACAAATCAGAGTCGTTGTTTTTTTTTATCTAACGGCTATTAGATGAGGTGTCAAATTTTAAATTTGACACTAGTGTCAAAGGATCCTACCTATATATATATATATATATATATATATATATTGTTCTGTCCTTGGGACAGAAATGTCCAGCCCAATAGGCTGGTATGATACTCTTGGATCTAGTGCCCTCTCCAAGGTATCTATGGAGGAGATACCCTTCAGTCAAGCATATCACTCTGCACAGAATACTATAACGGTGTTAGCCAATGGGGTGTGTGCACAGTGATAGCATAACAGTAAGAGAGAGTGTAACGTACCTTTAGGGTTTACCTTATTTTTATAGAGGTTACTTGTGGGTAGTGCGGATGGGTCTTTGGTGCCTCTGATAAGGGTCCAGGCCTGCTTGTTATGCTGTCATATTAAGATTAGTATCCTTGATGGATATCTATCCGTGATTATTACTGATTCAGATCTTGGATTTCCCCTTGTTGGGCCTATCACTTAATGGGCCCCTTATATGAGTCCATAACAGTTGCCCCTCAGCCAGGCTACCTGGGCATCCGGGTTGCCGGGGAGAATTTGCTTGTGCGTCTTTTCAGGTTTTTTGTTAGGCTGAGTGCGTTTGAGTTTTTGCAAACTTTTTGCAAGCTCCTTATATTCTGGAGTTTTTTCCATCAGGGTGTCTCTTGCACCTTATGTCGATGGGCTGAGCATCAACCCGGTGAGATATTTCTCGTATCCCTTTTTTCTGGATTAAGGGTGAGCTTGAGCAGTTGGGGTCCAACTGACGAGTTGCCCCTCAAGCGTCAGCCCTTATACCTATTCCGAGTTTGTAGCTCATCTCAAGGACAATTTTTCTTCGTTCCTTATATCGGTAGGTTGAGCATCAACCCCTGAAAACTTTTACATATTCGTACACCGAGTTTGGTATGTGCTTGAGTAGTTGGGATCCAACTGGCGAGTTGCCCCCAAGCATCATACCTTATACGCATGATGAGTCTCTAATTTACTATGTATTAAGGGTCAATATGAGCATAAAATTGAATTAAAAGTAATTAAAAGTTATGAGAATTATAATTAAATTGTTATTTTATTCTCAATAATATTCTCATAAGATTTCTGATATTTTGCAATAATTTCAGCTTAATAAAGATATAATTGGAGATATCAAGAGAAGTTGCTTTGGATTTCTAAATCATTGAAGATCTTATCAAATCTTCCTTTGAATATTTTTAAGAAAAGTTTTTCATTAAATTAAAAAAGGGAAGATTTGAAGGATTGAATCAAAGATATGATAGAAAATTCTAGTGAAGATTCCATTGAGATATAATGAAAATTAAAAGATATAGTTTTCATCCCTATAAAAAGGCATATCTTGGAAACTCAAGACACAATTCGACAGAGGCAACAATATTCAGAGGAGGAGACTCACGCTAGAGATCAGGATTCCGGAAAACTTGAAGATTGAAGACCATTGATCTTTCTTCTTCATCTTTTTCTTTTCTTTCTTTGTTATGAATTCGTTTTACTATTTTAATTTGTTTAAGCCAGCTATGTCTGGCTAGTTTCTTTTTGTAGTTGGGATCACAGACCCAATGTGAATCCTTTATATTTCCTGTATTGGTATTTTATAAGTTAATTAGTTAGTTTATTTTATTCTACCTGTGTTAATTTTTCCATATCCTGTTTAGAATTGGGCACTCTAAATTATAGGGCTGGTTAGAATTCACAATAGATATATTGGGGTTTTAATCTGGACAAGGGTAGAATAACAATTTGTGCATGACCTAGACATAGGCTTACATAAATTGCAGACTTATAATTCATTTGCTTCATGCTTAATTCAAGAGGAATTACTAAGACATTAGAATTCTAATTGGGTTAAAGGGTTGAAATCACTAAGACATTAGTGTTCAACTATTTTATAGGGAAATAATAAATTGTTTGAACAAACCAATTAATTAATTATAAAATACAATATAGGAATATAAGGGAGGATCAGAGGTGAAGTGTATTCTGGCTACATTCTTTTTATAAATTTTTCATCAATATTTTCTTACGTTCTTGATCTTTTCTTGCATGCGTTCAAAATTAATATTTTTTACTTTTCTGTTTTAAATTTAATTGTTTTTAAATTCTATTTTGAATTCCAAAATCAATTACTTTCACAACTCAAACCAATTTTATTTTCCAACTTAAGGAGAATAGTTAAACTAGTACTTGGTGCATTAATCTTCGTGGGAACGATACTCTACTAATCACTTTATTACTTGAAACGAACGGTATACTTGCCGATTTCACAACAACGCATGTCTTGATTTTTCCTTCTGGTTATGTGGTCGACAGGTTTTTGCATGAACCCGGCGAGATACTTTTACATAGGCAACATGGTAACGAATGTGCTTGAGTAGTTGGGATCCAACTGGCGAGTTTCCCCCAAGCATCAGGCGTTTAACTCGGTTGAGAGTTGTATATGTACGTATTCTGTCTTATTTGTTGGTTTATGAGTGGTACTCATTCTCTTCTGCCACGTGCTACTGCCCGCGTGATTTAGCGTGTCGCAGCCGTTTTATGCCGTTTTCGCGTTTCGTGCACATTTATTAGCAGCATCGTTTCAGTTGTCTAATCATTGCTTTTTGAAGTGAAATGACACTGGTGACCCTGACCTTTGCTATTCCCGACTGTTGCGGTTACCACCCATGACGATTGCGGTTACCACCCATGATTGTTGCGGTTATCACTTACAAGTGCAATGACCTTAGTAACCCTGACCTTTGCCATTTGTAACCCCATTGGTCACTACTCATGCCTATATAAGCCTCCGTCTGATATTACGTGCTTTTGTTTTCCTTCTGAGCATTGTGCAGAAATTGCATTTCTTTGAGTTTCAGCGTCTCAAACGCATTTCTCCATATTCTTGCTAGTTCATCCCTTTCAACAGATATTTCACTCATCTTTTGTTTTTTGTTGCTTCTGTTTTGAGATGCTTGCGTTTGATCATCTGTACCCGAGCATGCTTTTTCAATTTTGAATTCTTTGCCCCGTATATGCTATTGCGTTGATTTTCTTTTGTTTTCTCGTTACACCCACAGTCTGCACTTTCAAGGGGTTGTGTATTGCTTCCCTTCTGGCATTTTGGTGTTCATCACCTTGCCTTCATCTTCCTTCCTTGTTATTTTAAATCTTTGTGTCATTTAGTTTTTTAACCAAATGAGGGGAAAAACCCTCCTTCTTCAGCTTTGTGTTGTAAGGGGGAGAAGGAGGAGGATTCTGATTTTTTTGCAAAAGATTCCTCCCTATGCCCGTTTCTAGCTTTAGGGGATTCCAAGGACCAAAGAAGAAGAACGGGAAGCCATGCTTCATGGTTGCTGTGGTGGTAGATCTCGGGGGAGGCCCGGGTTGTCTAATAGGGATTTAGGGCCCCCACGAGGTAGAGGTTCCTCAATCCGGGGTAGGGGTCGTCTTACTTCAAA